ATCACGCTCTGATCACGCATCGCTCGCATGTTGGGTCAAATTGCTGATACATTCCGCCACCGCATCACTATTTACAATGGTTGCGTCACTTAACACTTCGATACAATAATCTGGCGGGGTCACTTTGCTTGTTGACATCATACAACCATAAGAACAGGAGGGACAGTAAAGAAGAACGTGACTAAATACTGTTCAAATGGAGGCATAATCTGCTTCTTTTGATCATGATGAATAGTATCTTACTCCACTTACAGACCCAGTGAGGCCAATGGAATTAACGTGGAGTAAGTTTTACCCACAATGAGTAAGTGGATCTGAATCAGACCCAGAAGGCGCATCTACACAAGACATTTATTCCTTGGTAGACTTAGCTGTGTAAGTCTAACATAAGCTGTGTAAGTCTTACATGTCTTACAAGTAAGTCTTACAAGTCTTACTTAGCTGTGTAAGTCTAACATGTGTAAGTAAACATCTCAGTATCTGCACATGTGCCCCTATTAGGCTGGAGTAAACTAATTAACTCTGCAGCAGGATAGTACTTGTAAATACTTGTAGATGAGCATGTGTAGATGCTGCTCCAGCTGCCTGAGGCATGAGGGTACTTTAGTGCAGTCAGCTAGCCTCACATAGAAGCACCCTTGTGCCCCAGCTAGAGTTACCATATGTATGGGTTTTCCCAGACATGACCTCTTTTTTTGAGTCCTCCAATCTCTGTCCAGATGTTTTTTTGAAATCTGAACAGATGTCCAGGATTTTACTCTGCTCTGCTGGTGGGAGCAAGGGAAGGGCGATTGGAGATGGGGTGCCACTTGCATCTGTGCATGCACACACGTGGCTGGTATGCGGCCAGGAAGCATAGTAGGAGCAGCCTCAGCAACTGGATGCAGGCAAGTCTATGGGGAGCAGGATTGGAGGGCCAGGGCTTGTGGGGGGGTGGTGAGAGAGAGAGAGAGAGAGAGAGGTGGGGGCGTGCCTGCTGGCACTGGGGGAAGCTGTCCCTCCAGCAGGGGAAGGAGGTGGGGGGCCCTTTGGGGCAGCAGAGAGGTCTGTGTCCAAGCTGGTGGCAACAGGGCCAGTACTCATGCCTGTGGGGGCCACATGGCCCCAGGAGACACTGCCCCAGGGGGGCATGCCCAGGCCACTTGGCACAGCATGAGAGTCCCAGCCCAGGACTGGGGCTGACACAGACATCCCCACCTCTTCTCTCCTGCCTGTACTGGGGCCAGACTCGCTCCACCACTACCCACATGAATCAGAGCTACTGTTCTCCAGCCCAGTCGGGATGAGGCCAGCTGGGGGCCCCCCTCTACAAGACTCGGGGGGAGCAGGGGGCTGTGGGTCAGGAGTGAGGGTCACTGGGGAGTGAGAAGCACCAGGGAAAGGGGAGGGGGTTCGTGGGTCAGGAGTGCAGGGCACTGGAAGTGCCAGGGGGCTGCAGGTCAGGAGTGAGAGGCAGCAGCAGCAGGGACAGTAAGGCTGCAGGGTGGGAGTGAAGGGCCAGGGGGCTGTGGGTTGGGAGTGAAGTGTCCCCACAACAGGTGTCTTTCTTTTTGGAAATGGAATGATAATCCTAACCCTGACCAGCCTCTCCACAGCAAGTTGAGCCAGGGGGACGCAGCCCTAGGATGGCAGGCTGACCCTCCAGGCCCCCTGCAAGCTGGGGTTGCTCTGATCTGACTCAGTGTGCTGCAGTCCCAGGTGCCTGTGTAAATGCTGCACCTGGGAGCGATAAACTCTGGGGCAATAAGTTCCAGAGTTTATTGCTGCACATTAATTGCACATATAGATGCACCCAGAAACAGAGGAAAAAGAGAAGCATCTATGTCATGGTAGAATATTACATAAAAATTATGTTCTTCAGTGACTGGCTGAGATAGGAACTAGTTTGCTAAGCTTTCTTAGAAAAACAAGGTTTTACAATAGTAGCTACTGCAAAACCAACAGCATGGAAAAAAATGTGAGCATCTACTTTGTTCATGTATCGTCAATCACAGTCATGTATCCTGACCTTAGTCTCCCTGCTGGGAACACTTCCATTGAAGCCAGCTGGAGCTCTCCCTGCATATGCAGGGCAGGTGTCAGTCCTAAGGCTAAAATTTTCTAAAAGACCAAGGGAGATAAGTATCCAACTGAGTTTTAGTAGAAGGGCAGCAAGTAACACCCATAAGCACCTTAGAAAATCTTCACCTAAGTTCTGCTTACACAGAACCTGGAGATGCAGACCAAATGTACGGAGAGTAGCATCTGATTTTTAAGGCACTTGCTAAGTAAATAGATATTTAGGCATCTATTTAAAGATTAGAGGGATTCTTGATCCAGTAGACAGCCAAACAGCCATTATAGTCTGTCATGTAAATCCTTGTTAATTTTATTGATTTGAGTTTAAATCTGCTCACCTTATACAAATGGCCTTCCTGAAATCAATAGGACTGTATGCATGAATAAAGTTGGGGAATTTGGCCTCTTTAGAGGAGAATGCTCCAACTGTTTGGCATGAGCTCAGGTGCTAAAAATCTTACTGACATTCTCTTTGAAAAGTATCATTTCAGATCTGGGGCATAGGACTTGGGGAATGAGGAGAGCTATGACAAAGAAAAGGTGTTCTGTATTCTAGGTCCATATCTTCAGCCTATTGTGTTTTTCCACGTTGCTGTAAGAACTGGAGATTTCTAGTTTAGCCATCTTATTGCCACTACCTGCCCTGATAGAGATGGTATTGGAATAGGAGGGCTTATGATCAGAACACTGCTGTGTACCAGCCACTCCCAATAGCAGAAGTGCACTGTACGGGGTTGCTACCACATGGCCAAGTATCAGAGCACCACTGAGTTGCTCTTCCCCCCTCTCCATGCATCAGAGATCAGAATGCAAAGGTGACTTAATGGTTCATTTGCTTTTACCCTTGACTCTTGCTAAGCCAATTGATGGCAGCTGAGAGACTAGAACTCAGAATACTCCTTGTACTGTGAGGCCAATGCCCCTTCAAAATTAAGCACAAGCAATTCACTACATATTGATATTATTCCTTTGCCTTGGACACAAAACCGGAAATCAGTAAAACCGGATTAGCTCCACCACCAACTCCTGGACTGTCCTTGGTAATGTCACTTAACTCTTCCATATCTTAGTCTCCCCATTTAGAAAATGCAGATGAATACAATGGCTCTCCTTTGTGAGTGCAAAATACAATTATAAAAAAACCCAGATCATGTTTATGAGGGACTGTCAAGAAGATGATATTAATGCTCAGCTATTCAGGAATAATATTCCCAGTTTTATTTCTGTTGTTTTCTTTTTAAATTAGTGTTTTAACTATACTTAATCTTCCACTTTTGAAAAAAAATGCAATTGATGTAATTTATAAGTTACGTACATGCAAAGTATCTGAAATCACTTCATTTCTACTTTTGTTTTATGCTCCTGAAATATAAATATCTGAAGAGGATATTGCTTAACCCATAACACAAAGTGACATCATAATTTATTAATACAGAAGACACTGTTTATTGCTGTTAAATGCCATAAGGAGCTGGAAGTAGTGTAGATTCTCAGAAGGTACTGCCAATATGTCAAAGGAAAGACTTCCTTGATGCAACCTCAGCATCTGTAAGATCCTCTTTGAGCATTTCAACATATTGTCTCCTGCACAACTTGGTATTGTTCAAAGACAGTTTTCTTTTCCTTTGGAATCTTTTCCTTCTATCCCCCACTCCTACTTTCTAACGTTCTGGTCCCCTCATTCTCGGCTTCTTCCTATCATTCATTCTAATGGATCACCTTCTTCTGAAAAAAAGCTGATAGCTTGGCCAAATTCTTACTCCATTATTCCAGTGGAATCCCCATTCTTTTAAATCAGAATACTGCAAGTAGCTTATGCTACCAAATATTTGCTGGTAGGTCTCTAAGGAACAGGCCACTCCTGGCTGTACACAGGCACAGACTTAACTGCTTTGTTGACATGGGGCCAGGAGCACAGGATGAAAGTATTGGCCAAATTTTAGCTACATTTTTCAACTTTCTTTTTTTTTTCTTTTATTCTTTCAACCAGGGTGGATGTGTCCAGCAAAATACTTCAAACTATGCTCAACTTTAATGAGCTGAGTAATTCCAATGAAGTCAATTAAACATATATTTAAGTGCTTCCTGGTTCAGGACATTGGCTTGATACTTCTAGAATCATAGAATCAGAAAAATAGGGTTGGAAGGGACCTCAGAAGGTCACCTACTTCAACATGATGATGAAGTGTCCTTTCCTGGATTAATGAATAAGTAATGCCCACCTACTAATAATGAAGTTTGGCCCTAAGAAACTTTTCAAAGACCTGCAGCAAATCCTTCATGCTCTCTTGGTGTCTGCAAATAGCCTGTGGTGTCTTCCTTGCAAATGGTGTCTTCCTTGCATGCCTTAATGCCTGCAAAAGGAGTACATTTTTGCAGATTACTCATAATGTGGGTAAAACCCCTCTGCACCTCTCTTTGCTTTATGACTCTTGGACTATTCTGGGTTGCTTGAAACCCCAGAAACCTGGCTTTGAATTTTTTTCATGTTAAATACATCCTTGTTATAGATCCTGTCTTCACCCACCTGAGCATGCACACAATCTGTATGCAAATTATGCTTATGTGTATTATGTGCACAGCCACACGTGGATTTATTACCTGGGATTCTGCATGCCAATAACATACGGGATTATCACGTGGCAACAAGCATGTGCTTGGTACTTTCATAAGCACAAATAAAATCCATCCTAGGCACTGAGGCAGTCCCCAATTAAACAAAGATGTCCTGTGTAGCTAATTAATTTCACACCAGTAGTGAGGATCTTCTGCAGCCTGATTATAACACACAGACCTCATGTGCACAGCCAGCCCCAGCATAGGGAACTGGCTTCTTCATGTTGCTAGTTCACTACCCCCCTTGAATCCCCCTCTTCTCTGGGCTATATGTGGCATTTTGAAGCTCTGACAATCTGCTCCAAATGTTTTCCATATTTGTTCAGCCTCCTTGATTCAAATACCAGGAAAAACTCAGCCAGCACAAAGCCAAGCTTCGGGGGGCAAAAAAACTCCACACACCCATCAGAAAAAAAAGTTCATCAACATGGGAAAAGAGGAGAAGACATCCCAGCATAACACGTCCCTTAATAACCAGAATCAGACAGGGAAGGCACCTGGAGGGGAGGAAAGCACCGATCCAGCCAAGAAGCAAGAGGCAGCAATGAAGAAGGACAAAGCCAAGGGGGATCCCAAAACAGGCCAGGAGGAGGAATCCCACACTTGCTGTGGCTGCCGTTTCCCGCTGTTGCTTTCACTGTTGCAGCTGGTGTTAGGCATCTCTTTAACAGTGCTGGGCTTCATTATGGCAGGCATCAGCTCTTCTTTACTAGTCAGAGACACTCCATATTGGGCTGGGATAATTGTAAGCATAAAGTCTGTTTCTACGTAAAGTGCATTTGCCAACATTAATGCAAACTGCATGATGCTGCACTTAAGACTAACCAACTGCATGTCCTACACAATATAGAAATTAAGCTAATTGTAAATATTCCTGGGATGTGTCTAATTTACTTTCCCGAGGAAACTGCAGTTGTAGTGTAATATTACCATTTTATATTCTTTCCTGCAACACCCCAAGAGACCTTGAATAAAGAAGGGGTGCTGTGCACCTGGTATCTATTACCTACTTGATTTGCAATTAAATAATGTTTAGTGATGCTGAAAAAATGTTTGCTGCTTATATTGTCTCCCCTCCCCCTCCAAAACTAGGTTTAAGAAGTGAAAACATAAGTATAAACTTCTGGTTCAGTGTGTTTGCAAGAGTATCAGGCAAGAAATGGCTGCTCTTTAGCTTCCAGGCAGCAGTGAGTTCTAAAAAAGTCTGTAACTTAACCCTTTTCTTCCCCCTTGTTCCAAGTTCTTTGCCACACATCACACTGTGGGGGGCTCTTGGGGCTAATGGGTTAACACAAAATGTAAAACAAGTAGGTGTGCAAAATCTTAAGGCTTGTGACACAAGCTGGCCAGAGATAGGAAATTCAAAGTTACAAGTGACGTGAAAGTCCTGCGCATTTGTGGGATGAGATCACAGGGGCAGGAGTAAAGGGTGGGGCTCCTGAGGAGTCTGTAGTGTAGCACAAATGAAGAACCAGCTGAGAAACAGGGCCCAAATCCTGAACACAAGCAGCTCCTATAGAAGTCAATAAGAGCTGTTGGTGTTCAGTGTCTCTTGTGTATTAGAAACATTTCTACATGCATATTTTTCTCTAAAGGAAAGATATACTCATTTATTAATACTAATTTTGAGTATTAGAATAAATGATTTACTATTTAGGAAATGTAATAACAATAACAAAATCTAAATGCACTATGATACATGAACAAATGTAATAACAATAACAAAATCTAAATGCTCTAGGATACATGACCAGCCATTATGCTGAATCACGTGAATGTAAATCCTCATTAGTTCAAGGATTATTTGACCTTCTGAACTCTTAGGGTTTACTGCATTAATCCAGCTGCTCCACATGGCTGGCGGGGCTAGCAATTGTTATGAAATACATTGGGGCAGGGAAATGGGCCTGATCCTGCAAGAGATGAAATGATCTGAACGTAAATTTCCAAATTAAGTAACTGCTCATCCTAAAATGATCTCTTTCCCGTCTCTCTCTCCCTCTAGTATATACATGATTCTGAAATGCACCCTATACCAATTCCACTTTTGCTTGCAGAAAAGAAAATCCATTAACGTTAGAGTGAAATGGGGGCCATGAATTAATCAGGTGCAGCATTTCCACTTCAGTATATAATTATATATTGAATTATAATTTTATAATATATATATTATATATATATTATGTATGTATTATAATGTTATATATTATGTATGTATTATGTATTTATATAATACATAATTAGATGGAAATGCCTCATGTGATTATATATCTAAGTTCACATGTCCAAAAATGTGTGCAACATCAGGGGGTCAAATTATTTTCTCAGAGTAGCCTTATTGCTTTCCCAAATCTGCAACAGCCCTTTATTAGAAGGGCTGATAAACAGCCATAAAGATTTTGGGCCAGATCTCCAGCTGGAGTTAGTTGGCAGAGCTCCAAAGTTACAGCAGCAAAGAATAGCCCTTAAGCTGCCTGCATTTGGCCATCATCAAACAAAAATGTGTAGGCCTGAGGATTTGCACATGAAGTAAAAGACAGCACTTTAAGTTAATTAAACGTTCAAGTCAAACTCAGGCCTAAATCAAAACTACGGAGTTTTTCAACCATCCTCTGTGATGTCAGAATAGCCACAGAGAGAAAGATCTTGCTGGTGGCATGTCTTACAGGAAATGGTTCTCAATGTAGTACAATCATTTTAGGCATGTCTTACAGGAAATGGTTCTCAATGTATTACATTCATTTTCCCTTTCCAGCCACATAGAAGACCTGCAAATACAAAGGCTTGCCAATCTAAGAATATATAGAGATTAATTAAGAACAAAATTATCTTGTAGACTAGCCTTGCTGCTTTCATCTTACAGATTGTTGAGTCACCAGCAGGTTTGAGTTTACCTTTAGGCATGCATAAGTATGTTTTGGTGATTGATGCCCTGCTAACTGCCTGGTCTTAGAATGGATAGGGGGAATGTCAAGAGGAAATCTGCCTGAGACGTGTATCAAGAGGAAATCCAAAGGGAAAGGGGTATATGTTGTAGCCCATCACAGCAGTCTACTGAAGTGTAGAGATTAGAGGGGAGCATGGCAGTAGGAAAGAGAGTTGACATGAAGAACCTAGAAAGGGATATGCCTTTCCCAGCAGGCAAGGAGCAACATGGTTTAGCTGGAGCTCCATCCATGTTAGGAGATCTGTGAAAACTAAAGCAAAGGATTATGAGATGTTGCATTATTACAGCCAAAAAGGGGAGTGGAGAAGTTCTGCTGTTGTTAGTTGCTTCTGTGTTGTAAAGCAATAATGGGTGCAGAGGGTGTTTATTGGGAAACTGTATGGAAGACGTTGAGAATCAGTGAGCTAGAGCAACTTTATTCATATGGGGTATCTACCAGTGGTCTGCAAAATGAAACATTCTGAGAATGGTGAAATGGAGAAAAAAAGAGAAGATGGTCCAGGAATTGGATCGTCTGAGCTAGGATGTCTTGAATGTATATATTCCACTGTCTTGCTTTTGGGCTGACAACAGGGAAGCAAAACATTTGGAAGGAATACATATGGGTAAGGGCTGGTATGTGTCTTGTTCACAAAACAAATAAGCTCAGATTCTGTAGCAGAATGTGTATTTTTCTGGAACTCATTTATTAGTACATAAATGAGCAACTTTGCCTTGCTTGGCAGTGCAACGCAGTGGAAAGATGTGGTATAAAATACTAAAATGTATTTGTCTTAGTAACAACCCACTCAAGTGCTCTTTTAAAGTATTTGATTAACATTCAGATTCACCAACTGTTTAAGAACTTTAAATTATATTATCAAGACCATTTTGGGAAAGATAGCAATGCTGGACTGAAAACTTTTCCCTTCTCTCTCGTATATCTCCATTGCAATTACATCAGCAGTGAAGTGGATTCCTTGGCTATTAATGTAGCATGAGAAAAAAAAGAAGAAAAATTGCTAATGCATTAACAGGCCTCGAGTGAGGAATTTTTTATTTACTAGTGGCAAAACTATG